GTTTGCAATTTCCATTGGCCATTATAAAAGAAAATAAATGTAATGAGAAATATAATAAATTGCATTCAACAGCAAAAGACTACGCCAAAAAAGGGGGCAGGATACTACTCTCCCAAAACAGCGAAAACTATACAGAAGATTACCCAACATTTGGTGTTAACAAGAAAAATTATACAGTTGCACATATACTATAATAAAATTATGAAATGCTACACAGTCAAACCTTCAGAGGTGGAAAATGAATAGGTTGTGACGGGTTGGCTAAATCCCATATGCAGATTTCACCATCATCAGCTCCGGATGCAAGCAAGTTTGGTGTAATTGTATTAAATTCTAGACCACGCACCTGCATGAGGAAAATACTAGAGCTCTCAGCGTGCGAAAAATGGTATAACAGTAATATTAGAGTAGCCATGTACTCGAGTGAGCATTTCAGAACTTTCGAAAACTTACAGGCCCTTTATGCCTTGATAGATGTCCAACTAGAGGAGTTTCACCTGCCTCAGGACTGAAAATAAAGGTGAAAAGGAGTCAAGCCTACAAAGCATTAAAGAAAGTAACACCCTGAGAATAATAGGGTGATTGTAAAATTAGACTAGAAAACTGTATCTAGTACAAATATACTCTTTTCAGAGTATGAGAAAAGGAAACTTCATTGTCATTTTTCAAAAGGTGGGCTTAATCGTAACTCTTCGATACGGTTCTCAAAATGAGATTCGGGGATTTCCATGGACAGTCAATCATAAGAAATTTTTATAAGCACTTGTTAGAAAGCTTCTTGACCAATCTACAACTATCGATTTTAAACCACTTTCAGATCTAATTTGATATTGAGAACATTATGGAAACCTTCCAATCCATCCACCTTCCCAGGGTCCCAATAGACAATTAAACCAACTCAGAAACTCAAAGCAATACAGGGAAATCATTACGTCAATTTGATCGTTCGTAATTAACCAATTCTCACGCTACACACTTCTGCTTAAATTTTTTTCAACTAATTCTTCATAGAACACTCAGAAGGGGTAAAGAAAACCAAACTCGTTAAGCCAACTGCAGTTAAATTACAACAATTGGTTTGAAGCCAACTCCCCGAATAATAAGCACCCGCTCACTAAGAACTTATAAACTCTACTTCCCCCATTTACCAGCAACAGAAAGCACTTGGGCACAGATACAATCCAAATTCTTACAAACATATTGATCCACGAAAAATGAAAAACCAAAGTCCAATTACCGGATCAGCGCAAGCGGGTTCCATATATCAATGTTCCCATCGACGAGTCCACCGGCAATGAGACCTAGAGAAAATTGTTCAGAGCCCGATCCATTCTTACCCCAGGAGAGGCGATTGAAGCGTTCGGAGCTCGGAGTATCCCCAATTACAGGAAGGTCCTTGTCATCCGACTGGAAATCGAGCTTGAAGATCTCGAGATTGGCGGACGAGCTGAATGACAAATCCACAGCACCCGCCATCGTCCCGGCGGCCATGTACGGCCCGTCCGGTGCTATAGCAACGAACGCCGATCGATTCACTTCCTTTATACACGCCATTGAAAACCCAAACTACCAAAAACCCAAGAAAATAAAAACAAAACAAACTACACCCAATTGAATTGTATCACCAATCTACAATTACAACCATAAGAAATGGAGAAGAAAAGATCGGCGGATCTGGGGAAATTTTCAGAAATTTTGTTTTTGAAGAGTGTATGAGAATTGAGGGTTGTCGAGATGGGGGAGTAGTTTCGATCTGATCTGTGAAATGCAAGTGAAAGTGAGAGACTCGCAATTCTCTCTCTCTCTCTCGAAAATCTCAAACGAAAAAATGAAAAGTGAAAAAAATGGGATTTTGAAGCTTTTATTTTTTGCCTTTCCCGGGAGTTCAATTAGCGGGTTTGAAGAGCTTTGATTCTCTGTAAAATGGAACACTAGGGTTTATGTTAGTCAACGTTTTGTAAAGACGACTCTCTCGTCGTTTGTCCAATGGGAATACGACTCGTGCATTGGGTGGAGCCCTTTGGGCTTTTTGGGCCCAATGAGATCCATTGGCTGGCGAGATAACATATGGGCTTTTCACAATGGGCTCATTATCAAATTTGAGACACCTTGTATTTGGGCTTTTTGGGCCCAATGAGATCCGTTGGTTGGAGAGATAACATATGGGCTTTTTCACAATGGGCCCATTATCAAATTTGACACCTTGTATATGGGCTTTTTGGGCCCAATGAGATCAGTTGGTTGGAGAGATAACATATGTGCTTTTCACAATGGGCCCACTATCAAATTTGACACCTTGTATATGGGCTTTTTGGGCCCAATGAGATCAGTTGGTTGGAGAGATAACATATGTGCTTTTCACAATGGGCCCATTATCAAATTTGAGACACCTTATATTTGGGCTTTTTGAGCCCAATGAGATCCGTTGGTCGGAGAGATAACATATGGGCTTTTTCACAATGCGCCCATTATCAAATTTGAGACACCTTGTATTTTGGGCTTTTGGGCCCAATGAGATCCGTTGGTTGGAGAGATAACATATGGGCTTTTTCAGAATGGGTTCATTATCAAATTTGAGACACCTTGTATTTGGGCTTTTTAGGCCCAATGAGATCCGCTGGTTGGCGAGATAACATATGGGCTTTTTCAGAATGGGCTCATTATCAAATTTGATACACCTTGTATTTGGGCTTTTGGGCCTAATGAGATCCGTTGGATGGCGAGATAACATATGGGCTTTTTCACAATGGGTCCGTTATCAAATTTAGACACCTTGTATATGGGCTTTTTGGGCCCAATGAGATCCGTTGGTTGGAGAGATAACGTATAGGCTTTTTCACAATGGGCCCATTATCAAATTTGAGACACGTGGCATGTGGTTACAATTGTGGGCCAAAACTAAACCCATAATGGGCCAGGTTCACCTCACACTGAGCAAAGCTACAAAAAGCTCTGGGAACTCAGCTCCCCCAAATGGATCACAAACCAAAAGATTGAACGGATGAGTTTATAAGTAAGGAATACATCTCTATTAGAACGAGGCATTCTGGAAAAACCAAAAGTAAAGTTGTGAGAGTTTATGCTCAAAGTGGTCAATACCATACCATTGTGGAAGGTCGGGATTCTTAACATGATATCAAAGTCATGTATTTAACTTATTAATGTCAATAGCATTCTCAAATGTCGAACAAAGAATTTGTGAGCTTCGATAGTCAAAATGTTCAAGTGTCAAACAAAAGATGTATTTTGTTCGAGAGCTCCCAAATGGGAACCTTGCATGAACTTGTAAAGCAATCACAAGGAGGAAAGCATCGACGGATATGAACATAGAGCTTTTTCTACTACCCAAAGCTTTCAGCATAAAAGCACAGCGTGTTCAGATCGATAATGTTTGATTAAATGAAGAAAACTTTGGTTTAACATTAACGTGTTCGGAAAAAATAGAATAAAAAAGGGTTAAATTACAAATTTAGCCTTTAACCTTTCGAATTCGTTACCATTCACAATTAAAAAAGTTAGAGACAAAATAGACACCTAACTCGGGGTTTGAATACTAAACTTATAATTTAATCCAAAAAATATATCTATTAATAATTTAATAATTGATTTACATTACATAGAAAATAAAATAGTGGAATTCAAAATCAAATTTAACAGGACATCAAATTTGATGGAGGTTGAACTAAACAAATATTCTATAATTGTCCATATAGTTTGAATGGACTTTATTTGGTCAGTTTTAGTCCTTTTTATTTATTTATTTATTTTGATCAATGAAATTTTATGTTTATTTTATTTTAGTTTTTTCATTTTTATTAAAATATTACAATTTTCGTGTTACTTTTATTTCTACTTTGATAGATTAATAATATAATTTTTAATCTATAATTTCGAGTATACGTAGTATTGATAAGAGTGTGACATTCTCAAAATAAAATAAAATCAAATCAAAATCAATATTTCAAAATTGATAGATACTACTAAGAAAGAGTCCAAGATGTTCCTAAACACTCTTATTTTTTCATGAATAGCAACATTACTGGAAAGTGATACTCAATCTCTTGTGAAGCGACATTGATCACTTTTGGTTACGATGAATTGAGTTGGAGAATTTTTTTGGACCAAGCTGAAATTTTGGATTGGTTGGGTTAGTGACCTAAGGTGCCTCAAACAGGGTACATAACCCAACCCAACTCTCTATTTTTCGACTTGGGTTAAGTTGAACTATTAGATTGTTCCTTTTTTAAAAAATCTTACTGTCACATTAATAACTAGTCACTCATAAAATTCAAATATGAAATACTTATGAGTTATGATGCATTAATAACGTACGTTACAAACATCCAATATTCTTAATTTTCGTAATCTTAAAAACACAAAATTAAAACTTCAATAAATAAATAAATAAAAAGTCTTCGCAACAAAAAGAAAAAGTGCAAAAACATTTGCACTTTTGAAGTTTGCTTTCCTTTAAAGCAAGTGGTGGAAAAGAAATATTCATTTCAAATCATTTTTTAGTAATAATTAAACCAACTTTTAATTTTGACTAAAACTTACACCTAAAGTATAAAAAATTAATATAATATATATATATATATGAGATTCCTCGTAGATTGGAGAGGGTAACGAGTGTCAGCAAAGATGCTGAGTCCCAAAAGAGGTGGATTATGAGATTCCATATTGATTGGAGGAGAGAACGAAACATTCTTGACAAGGGTATGAAAACTTCTTCCTAATAAACACGTTTTAAAATTGTGAGGTTGAGAGCGATACGTAACGGACTAAAACAGACAATATCTGTTAGTAGTAGACTTGGTCGACTACGTATAAGCACATTCATTCCAACATATATATTAGAAAACGTTAGGTATGGTTCGAAATAACTTTTTAAGTACTTTTATTAATTAAACATTCAAAACGTCATTCGGGACAAACATTTAATTTAGTTTTTCGAGAATGGTTTCTTTATTCCATTACTAAATCATATCTATTCAACGAGATTGTTACAAATGGATACACTTAAATAAAATAATGGTAGGTTCAAGATGAGAGTGAAAAGTGACCCAATACAAAGGGGTGACCACTTTTTGTTATGCTTCAGAATATCCCAATTCCTACCCAAAATGCATATTTACAATTTGAAACTATGAAGCTTAGAATGGGGAGTAGCGTTTCGAAGTTACATTCCGAACGCATTTCGGGGTCGAAAATCAGTTAGCTTCGATCAGACTGATCACGTCTTACTTTGATGGGGCATACGGGGCGTCGTCGTAACGACCTCTCGGTTCAACTTTAGTAATGTTTGACGATCTTTGATCGTCCCGTCGAAGAGTTGACCCTCGGGATTTTCTGCATAACATACATAATAGCAACTCACACAAGCATGGGGCAGTGCCATTGCAATCCTTGTCTGAGGTAATTCAAAATGGAAGTGATTTAGTTCATATGAGCTAAGAAAACAGCTCTATTAGAAGCAAGGAAGAAGAGCACAAACCATTAGATATCCAACTAAGAAGCTTAGCAAGGAAATGGTAGCGGTGAAGCCACCGTGCACTGTAAACGTCCAGCTCGATATAACAATGACACAAATAGAGCCACTACAAACTCCGGTGAGGAAGCATATTGAGCTCGTTATATCTGAGTCGACGATCGGTACCATGTCATTCATCTCGAAAAGTTTCCAAGTGTCTTGTGACGCTCGCACGAAATCTCTTCCATATGAAGCTATCTGATAAGAACAGTTTTGAAACGAATCATTTCGATTACGAAATCGACGCATTGTTTCGAAACATCCAAGTCTAATGAAAATGGAAAAAGACACAAGCAATACCTGCACGAAAGCCCAACTATTGCCTCGTCGAAAGATCGAGTTCATGACATGAAGACAGCAATGAGCACAAGAAAACATGAACTCGTCTTCCCCCTCGAGCAAATTTAGACCTCGAGCGAGGATTCGAAGAGCTTCAATGGTAGGCACAAAGAGAGAACCAAGAGAAGCACTTCCTAAGTTTCTAGTTAAAGCTCTTTGGAGGCAAAATTGAGTATTGCTTTGCATTCCTCTAAGATAATACAGAGATATCACTCTACTAACAGTTATATTAGCAACATTTCTCATCACTTCAGCAGTCCAAGCCAAGCTAAGAACTAAAACGATTATAGTCAAAGGGGGAAAATAAAAGTTCAATGCACCAATGACAGCCAAAATCCATATAGACATCCAAAGAAAGCCAGCCCCGAGCATCCAATACGTCGGTTGATTCAAATCGGGGAATTTCTCGACGGGTTCGAGCGATTTGATGAAAACCTTTGAACAAAAGCCTATTCTCTGTGAAACCCAGCAGGCATATAAACCATTACCAATGGCAAAAACAAGAAAACAGACTCCTACACCTTCGGTGGCAGGCATTTGGAAGCAAACTAGCAGGATTCCAGCTGATAAAGACATAGCAAAAGAACACCATAGAATGAAATGAACCATGAATTTAGGCCATAACCTCACAGCCTTTTGCCAAGCAAATGCAAGACTAATACTCAACAGAGATGCAACCTCAACTTGTGGAAGGAAGTACTGAAGAATCCTTCTCTCTTTTCTCTTTATAGACTCTGATGCATATAACAGGCCATGAATTCCCTTGAAAACAAGGAACCCCACAAGCCCAACAGCCAAAATCAAGTGCAGGACAAACAGGAACAGATATAGTTTATCTGTGTATGCTTTTGAGTTCAGATTAATCACTGCAGGTTGCTGTTTGGCAACAACAAAATAAGGGCAAAAATTCAACACTAATCATGATCAAAACAATCAAATGTGAGATGGGTTTTACCTGTGGAGTTGAAATTGAGCGAGGAACAGGGGACTGATGGTGTTGGTGGCGATGGTGGCCGGAAGGGCCACTGGAGGAGGGCTGAGGAGAAGGAGTGGCTACTCTAACACCACCGTTGAGGATGATTCTCAAAGGGTTTGTTGGGTTTAATCTATGCAACATTGCGGCGTGCATATCGCCTTGATTATTGGTGTTTTTGATGTCCCTTTCCATCGCTTGCTCTGGTAGAACACCTACTCTTCCCCCTTTTTCTAGATCTTCTGGTAATTGACTCCCATTTTCCTCTCTCTCCTCTTCCTTTCTTCTCTCCATTTCCCTCTCCTCCGCCTAAAAACCACACACACAGCAAAAATTTGAAAACCCCATGAGTTTTAGCGTTCTAAATCAACAAGAAAAGAAAACCCACCAAGAAAAGAGGAACAATCAAAGAAAAGAACCCTAAACATGGAAAAAAATTGAAAATCTCCAACAATACACTATCATCTTACTGGTTGAAAGGTACCCATCGGAGAACGGTGACGGTGGTGGCGGTGGCGGTGGCCGGAGCTGGAATTTAGGGGATTTGTTTTTGTTGTATCTTTTTGATTTTGGTGGGTGGGATGTTCCCAATTTGCCTTTTGGAATTTGCATCAGAATATGAGAATGGGAGTAGCTTCAGAATTGTTTTTCAAAGCTCACGAGCTTCGTTTGGCGCGTGATATCACGGACCAATGGGAAGGACTGCCGTCATTGAATGTTCTGACTTGCGTCTTTTAAAAAAAACTTTCGCACGTGCTGTAACAGATTAACATTTCTGATTGGAAATGGACGGCTGAGATTGGACGTATGTATTTTTGCCACGTTGCGTTTATTTTTATATTAAAATATTGGTTACGGAATAGTTAATTAATAGCAAAAAAGTTTTGGACTTTATTGAGATTTTAAAAAAAAATTATTTAATGCATTTAATTTCCAGTGTTTAATATTTTTTTTTTCTTTTTTCTTTAACTTATTTAAAACTCTAACGGCATTGAATCTTGTTTGCCTTTTATTGGATATTTTTTTTCTTCTAAAAATATTAATTTATATCGATAAATATCTTAATTAACCTTAGTATCATTTGATTTGAACATTAGTAGCTAAGCATGATGAATTAATGTGGAGATGAGGTTTAACGAGCTCAACTACGATCATAGCTCGAGAAAAGTAAGATGAAAAGCCATATAACCTAAGTGAGGTCAAAATGACAAAAACCCGAATATATTCTCAATCAAAATGAGAGGAGACTAATAGGAACAACAAACCGCCACAATCATATATGATAATGTCCACTTTGAGCATATCATACCTAAGATTTTTCTCTTAATTAGCCAGGCGACTCTCTTCTCTCAAGCTTTTCTCGAGCACATTGTTGGTCCAATAAAACTCTCATTGGATGTTCATTATGATTCTTCACGTTCGAGGATTCTCTTGACATGGTTAAGTTAAGATAAGAGTATGACTATATAAATTTTCGTGACTTTACTTTTGATTTTTTTTAAAATATCTCGTACCAATAGAGATAATGACCCTTATTTATTTATATAAAAAATTAATTTGTCAACGTCCAACTTCATAGACCACATATAAGGTAGAAAAAAGAGAAGATAGGGTTAGTGTCAAAATTGGCCCACCAAAACGGAATCCGGAAAAGTTAAATGACGTGTGTCTGAAAGTGGACCCCACAACGGTCAAAATCTTACAACTTGAATCCACCTCATCTTGTCTTATTGGTTGACGTCATCATCTAAACATTCAAAAGGTTATATTGTGATGTGGGCAGTCTCACATTAACCCTCCTGCACCCTCTTTATGATTGGTCAGTCCTTATCCTGATTTGATTCCTGTTCTTAGCACCATTCTAATTTCCCCTTTTAATTTTTTTAAATTTGTTTCTATTTTTTGTGGCATTTGTTCATAACTTTTCAATCATTGGATTGGGTTTTGATTTGAGTGACATTACAACACAATTGGAACCTAATATCAACTAATTTAGTTATAAAATTTGTCTCATTTAACTACTTTATTTATTGATTTATTTTCATTTATTAAATTATCGTCTAACATAAACATAATTTAAATAATTAAAATCATAAAAATATCTTTTAATTATCCGGGCTTTTTTTTTTTTTTTTTTTTTTTGTTAAATAACAAATAAAAAAATTTTAAATTTAATCTTAGTTGCCCGCTTATTATTGATTTTCAAAAATAAATTAGTCTATATTCACGTGACAATTATTATTATTATTTTTAACCTACTTGTTTACAAACATCCAAACCAAATATGTATTAAATGAAAAGAAATCAAAAGGAATTCAAACATAAATAAAATTATAAAATAAAATAGGCATTTGTTTATTAAGTGTTGTGAAGAACAAATCTACCTAATATCTTAATTATTTATTAGTGAATAGATCAAACCTACTTTCTCAGGATTGTTTAGTACTTCCAAACCACATTCATGATCATAATCTATTCTAACCACTTAAATTAATACAAATTGATTAATACTTTAAAAAATAATGCATAGTACACTCAATAATGCATAAAAATGAACAATCATACACTCTTATGCTTCAGTAAAAACACACAACATTCATCTATTACCATATATGCCTAAATATTTCGATAATAAAACTCGAAAAATAACCTTGAGGCATTATGTTATACTAACCTTGTCGGATAATCTCTCGAACAAGGGTGTCGTTTTTTTTTTTTTTTCTCGTTCTACTCTCTCGTTCTTTGAATCCCAGTCCATCTTGCAAAATCGACCCACCTGGGGGGAAAAATATTCACAGAAGTTTATCAGAATAGCTAGGAATTTGAAGAGAATGCAAGAAGGGTCATGAAGAAATCTCACATCAACGATCCCAAGAAAGTGTTGCCAGTTCGAACTGCGAAGCAGATTGCACTCAGTGCTAGCTTGTGCTTGTGCAGCAAAGGCTCTAGCATTCTTTGCTCTATTACTCCCGCAAGTATTTGGTACCTGAATGAACAAGAGAACCACGCTTTTTTAGTATATTCGATATTGGAGGGGTAAAATGGTATTTTCCCTCGAGTTGCGAGTTCGAGAAACTTACGTGGGTGTAATGGTCACTACATAATAGTACATAATTATCCAAGTATTTGAGGTACTTGAAAGTGAAACCTCCATTTTCAGATCAATCAATCCTAAATGCACTCTTGCATACTTTCATGTAACAACTCAAGCCCATCGCTAGCATAACAATCTTAAAACACGTCTATTAGGGAGAGGTTTCCACACCCTTATAAGAAATGTTTTGTTCCCCTCTCCAACCGATTTGGGATCTCACAATCCACCCCCCCCCTTGGGGGCCTAACGTCCTCGCTGGCACGCCGCCTAGTGTCTGGCTTTAATACCATTTGTAATAGCCCAAGCCCAACGCTAGCAGATATTATTCTTTTTGGGGCTTTCCCTTCCGAGCTTCCCTTCAAGGTTTTAAAACGCATCTACTAGAGAGAGGTTTTCACGCCTTTATAAGAAATGTTTCGTTCCTCTCTCCTACCGATGTGGGATCTCACAATCTACCTCCCTTGAGGGCCAGCGTCCTCACTAACAATCGCCCGGTGTCTAGCTTTGGTACCATTTGTAACAGCTCAAGTCCAAGCCCACCGCTTCGGGCTTTCCCTCAAGGTTTTAAAACGTGCCTACTAGAGAGAGGTTTCCACACTCTTATAAGAAATGTTTCGCTCCCCTCTCCCACTGAGGTGAGATCTCGCATTTCATCTAATCCTACTCCATCTATTTATAACCAATTCCTTGGCTAAAAATTACTATGCTCTAACTACCCTAATAATATTCCTTACTACCCCAATGACTTTCCTTTTAGGTATCTCCAAACATTACCACGATGGCTACTCCTAAGATGTGAATTTAGGTCAGCAGAATATACAAGAAATGAAGTGCAATAGCCATGGTGTTAAAAGAAACAAATATCACTCATTGAAGCGAAAAGTGCAGTACCTTAGGTTGCTAGAAACCGACATGTAAGTTCCATAGCCAATACTTGTTGCTAGTACAGGCACATCCTCTGCTTCCATGGCGTATGATTTGTCGAATAACTTTCTTACATTTATCAAGGAGTTCGTTATGCCTGTACCCACCTGAAATACAGAGTCAATGAGGCCTATGGTTCCATCTACGCATCGATTAGTCGAGCAATGTTTTAAATATCAATGGAACACCAAGTAACTTCATTTGATTTCTTGTGAACTAGCTCAGAAGAGTAGAAAAGCAACAGTGAATCTCGATCCTACTATACTATCAGAGATCTATGTTGATCCTACTATACACCAAATTATGACAATCTTGTGTATGCTTATGAGGCAAAAGAATTGCTTAAACATAATAATTTCTTAAACCAAGCCAAAAGGCAGACCAAAGTGGGGTTCAACAGGCTTACCACCGATGCACCACTCCCTACAGCAAATAACTTGGCCCCATTACGCTGCAAATGAACATATGAAATCACATTGAGTAAAAGTAAACATTCAAATAGCTCAATAAATTCAGCTCAAACACACAAGACATACCACCACAGCACCAACCCTTTGGAGAAACGAATACGAGGTACCTGCAAAAGCCACCTGCAGAACGAGAATTTCATTAGGGAATTTTGTCGAACACCTAGTGTTCATTGCGACTCTTGGAAACTCAAAAATGCCCATGTGAAGAATTGAAATAATAGAAAGTATTGACATGATGGATATTGATATTGAGGCAAGACAATGGTGTATACAAGTGAAAAATTTGAAGGTTTGTTTGGGATTCAGGGGACAGATACCTGGAAGGCGTTTTCAGGGCAGCCATAGAAGAGCTTGGTGAGAAGTCCAGCACTGATTGCTAGAGGAGGTTTGAGAGAGACGGTGGGAGCTGGAAGCCAAACAAGCATGAAATCTGCCACAATGGCCATGATCTGTTCTTCATTCGAAAAAAAAAAAAAAAAAACACAAACACAAACTTGGTAATTATTTCATATTTCTAAATATAAACATCCAAAAAAAATATTATATTTTAATATATATCTGAATAATCCTCTATTTATAAAGTACTATTTTAGTTTTAGTTTTTATAAATAAAAATATATTTTAATATGTATCGGAAAAGTTCTCTAAGGTTTTTTTTTTATAAAAAAAATTACTAACATTAAAAAAACAAAAACGAAAGTTATTAAAAGGTTAAAATGATGGCACATACCACGTCAGCACAAACAAAATCCAGCTCCTTGCTAAAGTTCTCCTTGCGTTTCTCCAGCTCTGCAGCAGTCTTATCAAAACACAGCCATATTAGTTTTGACATATTACAAATTTAAATTTTAAATTTTATACATCCTGTTTAATTGAAAGTGAAATTTTTTTATCCTAATTTTAGGGGGCTTCATATGTTTCGATAACCCGATCAACTTAAACTAAGTTGGATTGGGTTGAATTTTTTTATATTCGAAAATTTATGTCAGGTTGCGGATATTATTTTACCCGACTAGTTCGACCCATTTAAAAATAGGGTTACAACCCAACTAACCCTGCCTTCCGTTTAAAATTTATTATAAAAATTAAAAATATTTGAGGTTTGTACATGATGTTAGTGAAACTTTATGACTTGTGAATATTTAATGTTCGAGTTTATGAATTTTTAGTTATTAGTGTTATAATGATAATTAGGATTTTAATAATAATAATAAAAAAAACACTCCAACAACTCAATTAAAGAGTTTGATTGGGTTGTAAACTCTATTTAAGTTATTTGGGTCACTAACTCAATTAACTCCAAATTTCGAGAAAAAAATTCACTCAATCGAGCTCAATCTAACTAATATGAAAATTTGATTTGGTAAAAAAAAAAAAAAAAAAAAAAAAAAAAAAAAAAAAAAAAAAAAAAAAAAAAAAAAAAAAA